ATCCCATCCAACATGACCCCGTCTACTATCAACAACAGATTAAGGCTGATCAGTTCCTCAATTTGTCAATAGACAGCCGAAAATCATGATGGGGTATAAACCATCTTTACCAAACTATAAGAGCGTTCAACCACACACTGAGCTACAACTCCACACTTGCAGCATCCTGGAGAAGCACAGCTTCTCCCCCACTTGTTTCCTTCCCACTTTTGCAGACAAAGGTTAGGCAACAAACATGTACCAACAGTGTTTTCACACACATGTCGCATACCAGGGAACAAACAACATTAGACAACTTGGCCGGACGGACCGACCTGCTCTGATACCACTAATGTAACACCCTTATTCTACCCCACAGATATTACGGCAAAATAACACGGATTTCAGAGTAAAATATTAACTTTCATTAAAAAGCCACAAAAGGGCGTACATTTCTCAAAGTCAACAAAATTGGTCAATACTCCGTAACACACGGGTTTTCTCAAAATATATCAAAACATCATATACAGCGGAACTCAAACATAACTCAATGTTTTCCTCATAAGGGAACATCAGTAAAATAACCCAATGATATACAATTAACTCAAAGAACCCAACCCGATGTTACATATCAGAGCAAGACCCTCTAAATTAATCATAAAGACTAACGACTCTAAAACTTCAAAATACTCCTCGACGGCGTCCACGGCTAAACTTGCTCATCTGCAAGTTACCCACGTGGAGGTAACATTCAAACAGGCAGGGTGAGTAAGACAATTCATAATAATCAATGTATAACAATTAATGCATAAACGGCATATTACTCATAGTTATATTCAACACATTGATATCATTCAAATATGCCTCAAAGGCCACAACGTCATAATTTATACACAAAGGCTCATAAATGCAAATGCAACATAGACTCAATGCATGTGGTACCAATCATCACAGCATGATGGACACTGGGCCATCAACCCTCCATAGATCCCCATCAATAGGATCAGAGCACGTCAAAATACTTCACATCCACACAGTGGGATTGAAGCCAAAGTAATCGAAGTCCTGAACCAAAGTCCGGATGCACATGAATGCATGATGCACACTTCACAATAATCCTCATAATAACAGCATATGGTGCATCATCATTCATCATATTCATCATCATTACACGTCTTATCTCATCGTCATATTCATCATCATAAATCATGTCATCATAGCTCATCGTAACAATCATCATCATACATCATGTTATCATATCTCATCACAATAATCATCATCATACAACATATCATCATATTTCATCATAATAATCATCATACATCATACTATCATATCTCATCATAGTAATCATCATTATACAACATATCACCGTATCTCACATAACTCATCATAATAATCATCGTCATCACATAAATCATCATATCTCATGTTATCACATAATTCATCATAATAATCATCATCATCACATAAATCATCATAATTCATCAAACATCATATCATCATAATAATTAATCTCACACATCATATCATCATATAATCACGTACAAATCACATATTAGCTCATAGTCATATTATCACATATTACCCCATATTAATTCATAATACTACCCCATATTATCTCATATTAATTTATCAAATTATACTCGCGGTAATCCTCACACTATCGCCTATCAATCACATAAACTTCACAGTCCTACTCATGTTAATTCATCATATTATCACAGTTACCCCCATGGTAATTCATCAGGAAAATCGCAGCATCAAAACATCAAGACATCACTGAACCAGAACATGATTCGTTACTAGAACATATACCCAATTGACTTCTCAAACATAATTATATGCAAAAATACTGGGAAACCAATTCTCTTATCTATACTATGTTATATCCCTGTTTATTAGCTTTCCAACGCTTCAAACAGGGGTCAAAACGGACTTACGGATCAAAAGTTACGTCCAAAACGATTTCGACCGAAAACATGAACAGTCGTGACGGACAACAAAACGCTGTTACGCACCAGAACCTAAATTAACCCAAAAGTCCACACGATTCACTTCCCAAATGCCTCCAAAACATCCCTAAATCATCCTTAAGGTCATATGGCGATCACGACACAAAATCTATGGTTTATTAGGCCAATCCGGCAACATTTGCACTGCCTAAAACACTATTTTCCTACAATTGCTCTGAGTGTGTCAGTTACTCATATTTGAATATTCCTATTCCTACAGGGTCAAATATATTACAATCCAACGAAGGCCTAAGGTTTCCTTTCTCATGTTACACATCAAACAGTCCGATAAGGTTTTCTAAATCCATGTCAATATTCAGGGATACATATCGTCAACCATAACCTCAAAGTCTATTCATCAATTCCCTAATTCTCCCAACTCAACCCAACATACCCTAAATCATAAACCCCACCATAAACACACCGAAAGGCATACATAGAAAACCATGAAATGTGATACTCTCCATACCTTAGCCGATTCACAGCTTTCACGATTAACTTCGGGATCTTCCGAAGCTTTTGCTTCCACTTCTCCCTCCATCAGAGCTCTGGCCTCATTCTTTTCACGGTTAACAAAATGAATCTTAAACCTTCAGAATTCTATTTTGTCAAACTTAGACTTGGGCCACACAATTGGGCTTTTCCCATAACACTCTTACCAACTCTTCATAATGCCCAATTTACCCTTATTTCACTTATATTCATTTTAATCAATAATAATACTAATATTCTCATATAGTATACTATTAATTAAATAAATAGTCCAAAATGCACATTTTCTCAGTAATTCCCAAAACCACCGAAAATACCTAAAACACCAAAAATACAAATATTCTCAATTAAATAAATAAATTAAAATATTTCGATTAAATTCGGGGTGTTACACTTTTTGTTACAACAAAGTTAACAACAAACAACACATACAACATATATCAGAACAGAAAAACAAAATATTTCTAACTGATTACAACAATCAAATTGATGTCACCAAACGTCACTTCTCTCGCATCCTTCTCAGTCTTAACGCGAACCCACTCACACAGGCGATCATGTCTCTCGATACTTCTAATTTTTTCCCTTTCAGGTATGTCTCCTTCTAACCACCGATTCAGCTCCTTCTTTAGTTGGTTGAAATTTTGAATGTTCCAAAACAACATGTCCATCAGAGGCTTCTCTCAAATAGATGACTTTCCCGTAGCAGCGACGATACATGTTATCAGTAATACAAAGATATGAGATGAAATTTAAAAATAAATGATCATAACACTTCTATTTATAGAAAAAAATTTCACTTTCAAACTTGTCTCCAATTGAATTGACGACACCCTTTTAACATTTACACCGTGTCGCTACTTAAATTGGCAACATCATTTGTCTCCAATCCAATTGGCGACATCCCTTGTTTCTTGTGAAAGGTCGCCAATTGATATGACGCCTACACTGAGGCAATACTCTAAAATGAGCTACTTTAAAAAATAATTTAAAAACTAAATTATTTTAATATTTTTTTTTTAAAACTAAAGTATTTAGATAAAAAAATTCTCGATCTATTACTAAAAGAAAACCACAACGCTGCTCTCCATGCGTACCTACATATTTCTATTATTTGCATTAGCATTTTAACTTCTATTAATGAAGACTACAAATAATTAAGTAATAGATAATTGAGCAAATTTGTTTCCTAACCTTATTAATATTTTAATATTTTTCTATAAAGATTAATGAATGGTTATGTATTTTTAATATATGTATTTCAAATGTGTTTTTATTCATTTCCCCCCTCCATTTCTTTCTTATTAATGAATTCTAAAAATTTGCAAAGATCATATGACATCAATGTGCAAAAATATAAAATGTCTATTTTAATTTAATCTAATGTCTCAGATTTACACTTAATGAGGTATATGATAATCTTAATATTTTTAACTTTACCAATATGATAATTAATCAATATTTTCACCAATAAAATAATACTATTATCTTTTTTTTCAAACTCATCATCCGAAGACTCTTCAAATCAAGGAAGTGATATGGTACTCTCCTAATTCTCTTTGTATCAAATGTAATACACCTGACAAAGTTTGGTGCATATAATGGGTATTATTCTTCCTATTGAGCATGCTGCCAACGGAAATTGGAATTTCTTCTGAGTCTAAACTGACTCACAAGTAGTTACCTTGGCTTTCAAGAATCATCAAATAGTCCCTTGGCAATTGTACAATAGGTGAAGCAACTCTGTAACTAATGCAAATTCTATGCATTTTATTATCACTCACATTTATAAAGAAGAGAATCATTGTGCTGATGTCCTTGTCAATCTTGATCTGTCCTTAGATGCTTTCACATGGTGGCACACACCTCCTTTGATCATTAAAAGTGGGTTAATTAAAAAAAAAATGTCAGACATGCCTAATTTCAAATTTTCGTATTTATTTCTTGTTTATAGACCTCTGCTATATTTACACTTCCGAGAAATCAAATTTGATGAGGTGGAAACAAAGTTCTTGTAACATCATGAGAAAAAGAGCTTACATTGATTTGAAGGCAAACCAATAAATATAGTTTCAACACATTCATTAATGTTTTCTAAATGAAGTAGAAAAATTCATAAAAGTATTACTATAGGACCTTTATAGAGACTTCTAATATGAGAATTTTTACCATTACCAAAAGGTACAATGCTTTTAGCAGCCAAAAACTTCTTACTGTTGCACAAAATCTGTCAAAACCTGTACCAATCCAAAATAAGTCATACAAAAATGATAGATGCTAATATACTGGAAGGATCACTTTTCACAATTTCTATTAATTGTCTTCTTTATACAAATGTCACATTTAAAAGAATTATATATATAACCACAGAATAACTCAAGAAAAAATAAGCTGCAATCAGCGAACAAGATCCAATAAATTTTTTTTAACCAAAGCAATGAAACACAAGCACTTCCTCCCTATAAATCCCAGCCTAACTAACTCTGTCCCCCACCCCTTTTTCTTTTTGTAATTTTAATTTTCTTCTTTGAACTTTTCTGCAAGTGTAGATGTTTTTGCTGAGTTGTCACCAGGCTCATTACTACTATCACCGGTGATCCGATTTGATTCCGTATCGTGTATCTCGTCAAGAATCTCAGGATTTACATCCCATTTTTTGCTACTTCGATCCCACAAGGAGTGCTTTAGAAAGGAAGCAACTTGTCTCTGCCCATTTTCGGTGTGAAGCATCCTGCTTAAATCCACGGATGTTTCACTTAAATCACTACCCTTACCATATTCCTCATCTTTGTAATGTTTTTCCATCTCATCAACCTCATTGTAAGATGGAATCATAACTGTATCAACACCCTTTCTTCTTGATGATTCCGATAGTTCTTTAGGAATTGGAACTTTAGACCTGAAATTGTTTTTGGATGGTGGAATGGAAGAGAAGAAAACATCTTTGAAATTCTCAATTACCCCTTTGTTATAAGGGTTGACTTGTCGATCATACCGGTATCTAAAATTTTCGTAAGTAGACTGCACATTAAACAAAAGAAACTAACATCAACAAATGTGATGAAACAAACTAGAAAAGAACATTAATGTTTCACCGTTGAAACAGCTAAAAAGTCACATTTAAGGTCAAGAGATTATGAACCTGGTTTGTGCCGATTAGATATGTATGAAAAACAGTGAGCCCTCCAACAAACCAGACCGCAATGAAGGAGTATATTATTAGTGCAATGGAAGCAGGAGTTTTGATCATTGCTTTCCAAATTGATATGTCCTCCGAGTTCTGGATCCTCTTGATGTAGACCCAGCAAAATCCATGAATAAATAGGCAAAGAAGCGTTGCCGAGGAAACAAACATGTAGTAGAACCTATAGTTTCGCTGTCGCCATGTACATATAAGAAAAAAAAACGGAAAATAAGCAGAAAATTCTAATTAGCAGTTTCATGATGCTTTTGAATACAATCATTTTGAAATTTGAACACATAATACAGATACTATATGAACTAGCTAATGGCCATTACCAGTCCAATACACTGACCGACCCACGGGCAGTGATGATCAAACCGCTCCACACAATTATCACACACAGAGCAATGAGAACATCGTGGAGGTCTATACAGCATACATGTATCACAATACTTCACTTTAACCGTTGTTCCATTGATAATCACTTCCTTGAATCGTGGTAAATGCGGCGGTAGATTATGTTCACTACTAATACTAACACTTCCATCATAATCTTCCGGCACCGGAGGATATAAATTGCGAGGCACTATGCCAGGATCTCTTCCTGAGGTCAGTACAAGCGCAATCAGAACCTGACAATCAGTATTACAAGTTTAGGAATAAATCGCGAACATTTGCAACCGATTTTCTTATGTCTCTAATGATTAAGAATAACTGAAATATTAAATGACAACATTTATAATCATGATCTAGTATAAATAAAACATTAATTAGGGTCCATAAACAGTTATTAATCACATATTAAAGAAGAACACAGTAAATCAACTAATAAATACTATTAAGGTTTAATTTTTCTGCACAAATAAAAAGTAATTACTTACGAAGATTGTGTGAAGAATAACTAGAATGAATATCGAATATCCAGAGTGATGAGGAAAATCATCGATCAATTTTCTAGCTACAAAAGCACAAAAAACAGCAACCGGAGCAACGACGAGAAACACCGTTGTAAGTATAGATTTCACATCAGGTCCAAAAATTAACCTTCCTCCAAGAAAAAATACCTGAAAAAATTGCTGAATTAAATCAAAAAATACAAATAAGAATGAAAAAATTGAAATTGATTAAAATTAACTTACGTTATTGCCTTTCCAAGCTCGATAAGTTCTGACCAGCGATGGATCAACAGTGTTTCCGGGAGTTTCTCCGACGGAGTTCACCGGAGGATGCATTTCTTGAGGGTTGAATGAAGTTGAACCGGTCTAAATAAAATGAATGAAAATATTCGCTTTTAAAATTTGAAAAATTTAAAATAGGTGATCTTTTAAATTTGAAAAGAATCAAAATTTAAGTTTTCATTTAGAGAAACAAGTAAAGAAAGAAAGAAGAAAAAAAGATAGTGAAATAAAAGGAGGAGATTGTTGACTTTTATTATAAATTAGTTGAAACGTCAGATGTCGAGAAGTAAATGAAAAATAGGCCTTGTTGTTGTTATTTGTTGAGCCGCCAGTCAACTATAATTATTTAAGCATGAGCTTTTTTGTCAAAGCAAACATATCTAGGACGTGTTTGGATTAGAGTTTATTTATTAACTTTTTTTTTGTGATATTATTTTAAATATTTTATTAAAATAATTTTGATATTGTTTAAATTTTATTATTAAAAATTATGTAAGATAGTTTTTGGAAATAACTTGTAAGATTTATAAAAATAATTTTAATTTAATTTTGTTTGGTATGATAATATTTTATACAAATTTGTTCATATTTATTTTAATACACACTTGTGTAGTAAGTATAAATAAATTGTTTATTTAAATAAGTTCGAGCGGTGATTAATACAATTCAATAAACATTAGTACCAATTTAGTATTTTTCCGCTGTCTTGATAGTAAGGTGAAAATGGGCTGGACCGATTTAGGTTTTGTCAATATTAAATTTGATATGTCAAAAAAAACTGAAGTTTAAATTTAATTTGTAGTTTGTCATAAGTTTATTTTTATGTTTGAATCTGACATTTTCTAAGGCCTGGTTAACCTACATAAAAGTCTATTATTTTAAATAGACTAACAAACTAAAAAACCAATGAGACTAAAAGTTTGTTTATATTAATTTATTTTATCTTACCTATTAGTATAAGTTTTATGAAATTATTTGTTTAATATAACTTATGAAAATAATTTATAACATTGTTCATAAGGTGTTTTCATCTTATTTTCATAATAAGTTCTTCAAAATAACCAATTTTTATTTATGTATTTTAATTCAAAGTACAAAACATAATATAATGATAATAAAAAAATTATTCATATTTATTTAAATAGATCGGTCTGTTAGACTTAAAAGACTTTTTTCATGGCCTGAGGTCTAACTTTTTTTTAACTAAATAGACTTATAAAAAAGACTAAGCCATTTCTATTTAAAAAAAACTTGACATGACTTAAATTTGTATAGATTAGACCCATAAAGCCTTGTTATCAGTTTGTCCTATTTCCACCCCTACTTGATAGTTAAACTTTATAAAAGAAACATATTTTAAAAGAGTGTTCCCAGAGCCCTCTTTAATCTTTAAAGATATCAGATAAATTTTTATTTTTATAAAAATTAATTATTTAAATTTCTAATGCATTAAAAATAATATATAATATATAATAACAACAATTTTTTGAAAAATATAAATATTTTATATCAATGTTTTGATTTTGTAGGTATATAAGATTATTATATTTGAAAATTATAAGGCTGACAAAATAGGTCGGACTCATCGAATCGATCTATTTAATTTATTATTACAGTCGAAATGAGTTTAAATTTTCAATTTCATTCCAGTACTTGATTAGTATTGTTTGACAACATTCACAGTTTTTAAATCAAGGAGGTGATTTACACAAAAGACAAAATTGTGATGAATTTGTACACTCAAAGTGAACAATACTATGTGATCGTGGTGGTCAATGCATTTAAAGTCAATCAGAATAGTTTATAATGATGACATTCTCATTATTAATTATAATGAACTTTTAATCTACTATCAACCCTTCAAAATTTTATTGCATGAACTTACATATTTGTCATTCTCCTAATTTTTATTTATAGTACAACTTGGACAAATTGGTAATCAACAAATGTTCCAATTAAAACATTCACATAGCTCTCTTTACATTACACATGTCACACTCTAATTAGTCTCCATTGCAACTTCAAATCATCTTTTTTCTCTTTCCACACTTTTCATTTTCCACATCTCTCTCTCTCTCTCTCTCTCTCTCTCTCTCTCTCTCTCTCTCTCTCTCTCTCTCTCTCTCTCTCTCTCTCTCTCTCTCTCTCTCTCTCTCTCTCTCTCTCTCTCTCTCTCTCTCTCGTTTCATCTATTTTCCCCCACAAGTCCTAAATATGGTGTTTCCCCTTTCCCCACCCTATATACTGCCGCCACCACCACCACCACCTCCTCCACCCTATATAATTCTTCATTGCAATTTTTCTCCTATCTCCTCTTTCTTCGAGCACATTAATGCTGATGTTCTTTTGGACAATGAAGCTCTCTATGGCATTTGTAGACGCTCATTTAACATTGAGTGTCTTATCTACACCAACCTCAACCGTCTCGTCTCTCAGGTATACTTTATTTTAATTTTGATTGAATGTTGTACTAATACTCTATTTGATTTTGGGTTTAGGTGATTTCATCTTTGACTGTTTCTCTAAGGTTTTATGGTGCTTTTAATGTCGATATATTGGAAACTGATTCTATTAAGGTTGAAGTTCTGAGCTACTCAAATTTTGTAGTGGTTGATTTTCTAAACAAGATTCTTCTAATCAATTTTTGTTTGGTTCAAAGCTTAAACATGGCGATGATAAAGAAGAGAGGAAGAAAGGAACACCATGGCGATGATAAACATGAATCCTTTCCCCGTAACTATCAACCTACTGTATTGCTCTCAATTCATCTTTATTAATTCAATTTTTTTTCTTATAAGATTATGTTGCAACAAGGTGGTATAGGGCTCCCGAGTTGTACGAGTCCTTTTTCTCTAAGGTGCAATTTCTATTATATTTGTTATGTAAGATTCTTGATATATTATAATATATGCTTTATGGTTTATGGTTTAACCATTCAAAAAGAATCAGTGTATGTTATTCTGTGTTTCTTATGCATAATACTATTGAAACATTTAAATTTTAGTCTTGTCAAATAATAGGTTGGTTAAGTTAGTTAAATGAAGATCTTTTAACATTTTAATTCGTTTGTGTATATCTCACTATATATGATTGAAAACCTTTTATTTTCTAGTATACACTGGCTATAGACATATGGAGCATTGGCTGCATATTTGCAGAAATTTTAACTAGAAAACCTCTTTTCCTCGGGAAAAACGTTGTCTATTAATTATATATCATGACTGATTTTGTTGGAACACCATCTTCTGATGCCATTGCAAGGGTCTGCTGTTCAACTTTTCTTCCTCGTACCAATTTATTTATTAGCAAAATACTCTTTTTGGTCCCTTAACTTTATCCTTAGATTCAGATTGGTCCCTTAATTATTTTTTGTGTCAGATTAGTCCCTTAACTATTTAAAACGTGTCATATTGATCCTTTTGTCTAATTAGCGACGAATTTAGCGATGGAATTTTGATTTTTTTTCGTCGCTAATTAGACGAAAATGACCAATATGACACGTTCTAAAGAGTCAAGGGACCAATCTGACACAAAAAATAATTAAGGGACCAATATGAACCTAAGGGTATAGTTAAGGGATCAAAAAGGGTATTTTTTAGCCTTGTTTATTTTATTTGTTACTTACTGAAAATATATTAATTAATAGATACGTAATGAGAAAGCTCGAAGATGCTTGAGCAACATGTGTAAGAAGAAGCCAATTCCTTCCGCAAATAAAATTCCTAATACAGACCCCTTGCTCTACGGATATTAGAAAGAATGCTGGCATTTGAGGCTAATGACTGACCTATTGCTGAAGAGGTTCAATCTTGACGTCCAACTATTTTTAGTTCACTTTCTCTTTTTATATATCCAGTTAACTATGTATCTTGTGGGTAATAATGCCAAGCCCTAGCAAACCCTTATTTTAAAGGCTTGGCCAAGGTCAAAAGAGAACCTTCTGCTCAGCCAGTTACTAAGATGGAATTTGAATTTGAGAGGCAGAGGATAACAAAGGAAGATGTAAGAGAGCTTATATACCAATAAATATTGGAGTACCATCCGAAGATGTTATAGAAATTTCTAGAGGGATCAATACCAACGGGTTTCATGTATCCAAGGTTTTGTCTTAACCTCTGCCTAAAATTTTGTTTCATATCTTAATTCTTTTTGCATTGGTTGATCACTTTATGATCTCATTTCATTATTTAGGGTTTATGATCTCATTTCACTCCTTTGTTCCTAATCTATTTTGAATAGTGTTGTAGACCTTTTCAAGAAGCAATCTGAATATCTTGAGGAGCATTATGGAAAAGGGGGAACTGTTGCTCCACCTGAGCGGCAACACATGTCTTCGTTGCCTAGGTATCCTAATTTTATTGTTGTTTTTTGTTATTAAAAATTACAATTATCCTCTTTGGCCAATGCTGTTATTCAATCTTGATAAATGCCATTTTAAAAGACACATGTTTGCTTTGAAATTTCCTATTGTCTCTGCTGATTTGAAAAAGTACATGCATAACGTGTGTGTTGTATTTTGATAACACGATGCAGAATACGATTGAGGTTTCAGAAGATCTATCTAAATGTTGCATCGAAGAAGTATAAATAAATTTATACAAATTTGTTCATATTTATTTTAATACACACTTGTGTAGTAAGTATAAATAAATTGTTTATTTAAATAAGTTCGAATGGTAATTAATACAATTCAATAAACATTAGTACCAATTTAGTATTTTTTCCGCTATCTTGATAGTAAGGGTGAAAATAGGTTACACCGATTTAGGTTTTGTCAAGATTAAATTTGATCTATAAAAAAAACTGAAGTTTAAGTTTAGTTTGTAGCTTGTCATAAGTTTGTTTTTATGTTTGAGTCTGACATTTTCTAAGGCCTAGTTAACCTACATAAAAGTCTATTATTTTAAATAGACTAACAACCTAAAAAACTAATTAGACTAAAAGTTTATTTATATTAATTTATTTTAACTTACCTATTAGCATAAGTTTTATGAGATTATTTGTTTAATATAACTTATAAAAATAATTTTTAACATTGTTTATAAGGTGTTTTC